ATGATTAAAAAAAATTAAAATATCATGCCTTAAATAGGAACTATACAAAAACATACAACAACAAATAAAAATGACTAAAATAAAACATAACAATTTATGCTACTTAAACATGAATAAACTAAAATAAATTATCCCAAATCCGAATAAAAACACAAACATATTTAATAGGGAATAAATGACCAAAATAAAATAAAGAATAAAGAGCTCAAAATAAAAAATTTAAAGTTTCATTGGTGACCGAAATGCAAATATTACAAAGATTTGGGGCCCCAAAGTAGGATTTATCCATGCGCAAAAATGTAAACAGTTCCCCTACGAAACTACGTCGTTTCGTGGGGAATATTTAAGCATACAAACCAAGGCTTCTCACCTATTTCCCTCATTTGTTTTCATTTTTCAAAAACGAAGAGAGAGAGAGAGTTGAGAATTCTCTCAACTTCTCTCACCGGTGGATAAAACAATGGTCGCCGCCAATGGAGCTCACGGCGGCCAGAGAGTGGACCGACTTCAAACTGTCCCTCTTCTTACCCATAACCTGAAAACCTCATTCTCTTAGCCTAAAACCCACTCAATCTTCCTAGATCTAGGGATTAACTCTCGGTTAAAAGCAAATCCGACGCCTTGCAGGCTTTCCCCTTTAAACCAAGGTATAAGGTTTTACTATTTCTTTCTTTTGTTTTCTTTTTTTTATGTTTAGTTGGAATGGGCATTATGTTTTTTTCAGTTCGATGTTTGGTTCTGATCTCTCCTCGTTTTTTCTTTCGGTATTTTTCTGGTTTTTTTTCTTCCAATACCCCCTTTTCTCTTTGTTGCATGTTATGTTTTTATCATCCTTTTTGGGTGGAGATTGATTCGGTAGGTAACATACCAAAATTTTAGGATTTTGTGTCGGTTTAGTTGATTAGGTATTTGATTTGGTGGGATTTAATTTTTGACTTTGGTGCATGTGACTTGCTGGATTGGCTGAGGTAGCTCGATTGGTACTTGCTAACATTTTATGGACCATGAGAAGGCACAGCTGGCGTAGAGGCTAATTGGAGATTGCTCGGAGCTTGATGGTGGAGAGGAAGATGTGAAGTACATGCGCCTGCGGGAAGCTGGGTAGTTATTAGCGGAGGTGGCTTAGGGTTTTAAAACAATAGATGTTGAGTGATCTGGACCATTTGATGGGTCCAGATCCAATGGTTGATATTAAGGTGGCAACGGTGTTGAATTTAGGGTTTAGAAATCCTAATGCTACCGGGTCGTATCTGGATTCTGAGCCAGTTTGGATCTTTGGGTCGGGTTCCATCTGTTTGGGTCAACAACTTGGGTTGTAATGTTGGGTCACTGGTCTTGGGTTCTAGATATTGTAATTGAACTGGGATGAGTATTGGGCCTACACAACATGTAACAAAATTAATTAATAATAATAATAATAATAAATAATAATAATATTATTATTATTTTTAGGCCTGGTCAAAAACGGTGTCTACACAAACAATAGATTTCACGACAGTTTAGCCCTGCCATATGCGATTATATTTTCTTCTTAAGGCACATACTTAAACCTGAATATTTTTCTTAATATACTAGTTTAATTATATGTTAATTTTTATTTAAGGTATTATAATCAAATCATATAAAAATTAAATTGGGTAACTTTTGAGTTATCATATATATTTTCTAAAAGAAGATAATTGTTTTTTTTAATTTTTTATATTAGTTATAAATTATAATAATTTCAACATTCACTCAATTAAATATAAACTTAATTAAAAAGTATAAAACTATAATATAATTTAGATAGGGTTTGTCACATTTTTTCTCTTTTCTCTTAGCCTTCACTAATTTTTATTCTTCTTTATTTTTGTGATCAACGACGGTATCAGTTTGGTATTGGTCATCGACTGTTGATATTTATTATTTTTCATTTATTTTATTATTGTGTATCTTTGTTTTTTCCTTGTTTTTTACTTTAAATATTTCTGTCTTTATGGCACGTCTTCTTCTGCTTTTGTGACATTTTTTTCTGTTTTTATGGCACGTTTTTTGTCATTTGATTGTGGTTTTCGTTTATCCTTTTTTAGTGTTGGATTTGACATCGCCACGGTTGATCAAGATAGTACTTATTTGTTATCATACTAACCTTCACTGCTTTGGACCCTCGAATTGGATTTAGATACGCGATTTGTGTTCGTAGATAGTATTTTCTTGTCGCTCTATTCTGATTTGCGATTTGTATGTAATCTTTCAATAACTTCATCCGTTTTGTGGTTTATTTACTGATGCGATCAAATATGTTTGTATCTATCTTTTGTTCGAGTTTGTTTGTTTCGTATCTATCTTCTATTATGTGTTTAGTTTATAGTTGTAAACCTTCATTATAATTTGAATATTTTCTACTTTTAATATAATTAGCGGCTTCTATAAAAAAATCATACAACTATAAAACAAAATATTAAAATTTAAACATATTTAATATTTAATTATTTAATTTAATTTAATTTAATTTTTACTTATTATTTTTCATGTCATGATTTTTAATATTTTAATTATTTAATCTAATATTTTGTACACAACTTATAATTAATTTAAACCGTAACTTATAAATGTTTATGTTATTGTTTTATGTACAAACTAAATTATCAATCATTTAAAAGATATAAGAATTGAGACTAGTGTTTAAGTGGATTATCTTAAATTTTATAGTATTTAATTTCTTTTCAACTAATATTGTGGTAATATATGTCATCATTATACGACGATAAGTGTTATTAATAAAAATTAATCACGACTTATTCAAATGAAAACGTCCAATCAAAATATCTACTTGGATTAATATGGACCGTTATTTAATGTTTGGTATAATTGGATTCCAATTTAGAGTCTAAAGATCTAATTATTTTTTTCTGTTTCACAAAATATATCTTTCTATTTAAAATATTTTTCAGTCGTTTTAAATTTTTAATATTATAAACATTATTATTTTAAATTTTCCGGCCGTAAAAGTAGTTCAAAAATTTATTAAATGACACGTGTGAATTTTAAAATTGTATTATTAAAGAAGCCATTTAAAAAATAATAATTTTCCCCCAGTCACACTTCTTCCCGCACCCCCGCATCCCCCTTCTCTCTCACCTCCCTCTCGCATGGCATCAGTTACTGGAAGAAGACCAAACGGTCGATCTATTATCACTGCTCAAACGATCGGCCTGACTGTCACTTCCAAACGATCGGTCGATTGCCACTGAGCAAACGACTGGTCAAAGGAATTTAAGGAAATTTTAAAGATTTGATAAATTTGGGATTTTAGGAGTTTAGGTTTAAACTTTTAGGGGATTGGGCGACAACCTATCACTAGTGGATTTGTTGGTGATTATTCATCAGGTGTTTAATCGTCGGATGAAGGCGACGACAACGACAACTACAAAGGACGATAATTGGTGTGAGTATAGGAATTAGAATAAGAGTTTGCAAAATTTTAGGTTTTTTTTAAAGATTTGAAAATTTTGAGTTTTTTTTTATAATTATAAGTTTTTCATTTTAAAAATTTTAAAATTATATAAATACAACACGTGTGTCTGAACAGAATTTTTTAAAAGTCGTTATAATCGAAACATTTAAAATTATAACATTTGTAAGTTAAACACATTCACCAAAAAATAATTTAAATACCGAAATAAAGAATAATAATTTCAACAATTATTTTTATATTAAGCAGAACACTTAATATGTGATACGATACGGCCCACCCCATCATGTCACAATTTTGGAGGGCAACTGGACCCTTAAAAGGTCCAATTCATTTAATAGTATTGGTTTACCCTTTTATTTGTTTTCCAATTTTCATACTTTAAATGATAAATAAATTTATAAAATCATAAAAACAAATAACGAAATATCAGTAATAAATAAATTTTCAAAAAAAAAAATAATCTCTCTCAATGAACAATTTTTTAAAAGAAATTAAAATATTCAATAAGATTGCACTATATAAAAAGATGATTCAAAATCTTAAGAATATAATAATATCAAATACTTATATTAAGAATTTATTGTTTTTGTAGTCCTATATAACTTAACGAGAAATATTCATAGTAAAAGATAATAATAGTTTAAATTGAGTTAATGTTAAAAATAAATAAAATTAATTTTTAAGAGTAAAAAGGAAGTTGAGAGGGAGGATTTCCCTGGTTCACTTCATATGGGAACTGGTTCTGAATAATTTTATGAATAAAGATATAAAGTTAGAGCAGTATCTGTAATGCTGATTGCTGCCTTTGTTTTTGCACTTGGAAAACTATTCATCATCCGAATCTTAAACAGAGTGGATATGTCGGAAAGTGACTCTTTACATATTCAACGGCCAAGGCGGCCCAAAGCTAGGCTTTTGGACGACCAAGATCAATCAGTCGTCCCCACCAGTTGATCCAATCCTTATCAGCATGTAAGACTGAACCTTATTCTACTACAACACAAAACCTAAATTTGATTATTGGGTAGGGTTTAGGGTCAAATGATTCATTTGAAGATACATCGGAGGTCATATGATTTTGTTCATAGATGGCCATTCTCCACCATCAAACACACAAAAAGGAATCAGTTCCGAGTCTCACTGCCTATGCCCTGTCATTTTTCTCTCTTTTTTTTATCCAAGCAAAATTCTCACTGGCAACTCTCACCAGTCAGTCAGTCACCACTCACCAGCGGCCGCAGCCCTGATCAGGTGCTTTGTTTCGTCAACCGGGCTTAGTTTTCTCACGCGCTATCCCCGTAAGACGAGCTTGCTTAACGGGTGTTGATGTTCTTAAATCAAATTATTTATACGGCTTAGTGCTCGATATGGAAACTTGAACATACAAGGAATAAAAGCGTTCGTCAGTGTTGTCGTTCCGATTCCATTTTGGCTTGTTTGCCACGATACGCATCATCTCTAAAGCAGCTAACGATTCCTGGTTTTCTCCTTTCTTAATATGGGCGTTACCGTCTCAATATCTCTCTCACTCAAAGCCCTCCCCTGCACTTGACCCTGCACTTTACACTTTCTTTTTCCATAAGCATTAGACAAGCTAATTATTATGCGCCATGGAGCGCGCTACCCGCCTCCTCCTCTCCTTACTCCTCCTCCTTCTCCTTCTCCATCTGCCACCCTAAACGCCGCCGTTACAGTCGGCGGCCACGAGCACCCAATTCTGGTTTACGTTTTCTTATCCCTTTTTCTGCCATGCGCTGGCATGAGTGCAGTTTTCATTGTTTATATTTGCCTTTTATGGTATGCCTCGAACTATCGGACTGACAATCAGTCAGGGTCGCCCTTGGCGATTAAGCAGGTAGGTGAGAAAGGGTTATCTGTTTCAGAGCTGGATAAGCTGCCGAAGGTTACAGGGGAAGAGCTCGTGTTGGGGACTGACTGTGCAGTTTGTCTCGACCAGTTAGAGGCTGAGCAACCAGTTAGAATGGTTCCTGGTTGTAATCACGGGTTTCATTTGGAATGCGCTGATACATGGCTTTCCAAGCATCCGGTTTGTCCTGTTTGTAGGGCCAAGCTTGATCCTAAGTTGTTCGATCCTTCTCATGATAATCCCTGATAAGCCTTAATCCTCTTTAAGAGTGTAACAAAAGTTGAGTGTTTGATCCTTGCATGAATATTTTTCTTTGGGAGGAAGAGAATAAATGTGTTCATCTAAGTTATGTTATATCACTTTCATATCAACATGCATGTACGGATTTTCTCCTTTTTAGTGATATTTTGATGTTGATTAAAATAATTTCTTTTGATGTTTACTCGATATGGGATTTTGCTTGCTGGGTAAAAGACGTCAATTGTTTGAAGAGCTTGCTTTCTTTTAGCTTATTTTACTGTGGAAGAGGATTCATTGATTCAAAGGAAACGCAATAAAAATGAACTTTTAGGAACCCTTCGCTACTAACTGTAATTAGGTACACTTTACCTTAATCTCGTTAATCACATATTCGATCTGATAATCTGAATCCGATGACTTTAAAAAACGCAAATGGCATTGAACTTTGGGATTGTTGTAATATATTTTAGCAACTAAGAGTTATGTGAAGAAGCGTACGGTAAACCTGAAAGAGAGGCAAAACATTTACATCATTGAAGGATGCCAAGGAAAACCAGAGATTAACGTTGAATTTGTTTTCGATTTAAAAATTATTTTAAAAATGTGAAGAATTTTTAAATTATTGAGAAGTATAAAAACAATAAAAGCGTTTCATTTGTAGAACATTCCGTACTTTTGGACATTGAAGTAGCAGAGTGTTTCTAAACTGCGTACCGTCCGACAGGTGTTCCGAAACTTTAGATGGACATGAACACCGATCTCGCTGGCTTGCAGTTCCATCAAAACAGGAGTTGGGAGCCGCTGCTTTTTCGCTTTTGCTCGCTTCTACATGGCAGACAGTATGACACGTGGTCTTCGGGAGCTTGCATTGAAATATCACTTTTAGATACAATAATTATCTATCAGACACTCTCTTCCTACATATTGCTCTTCCCACATATTACTGATCTAGCATCATTTCTGACATAGTGATAATAAAATTCGGATTACCATCCGCACCTTCGAGGGGTTCTGTCCAAGCTGGCATCACGTAAGGGGAAGATGCGGTGCACGTTGAATTATTGGTACTCCATTATTATTCGAGCATGAAAACTTGGATTTTAAACGCTCTCCTCTCCTATAAATAACAACCCCTCTAAATGTAAACATCACCACACCAAAATTACTTGCTTATTCTCACTCCTATCAATTCTTTCTATCAAGCTAAGTAGATATTGATATTGTTTTTATAAGGTAAAATTATTTTTTATTATATTATATTTATTTTATATTTAATTATTTGAACAAATTTTATTGGACTAATTATTTTATATTATTTTTGTAGTTGTAAAATTGGAAAGTGTGATTATACCTCGAGACATTTTGCCGATACGGTAACAATATGAAATTGTGTTATTTAAATTATTGTGAAATTTTTAAAAAAAAAATAGATTAGTTTCTATTTTAATTATTATATTATTTATTTAATTAGGTGTATTTCAGCTATTATTTTTGCAGATATAACACTTTCAATATTTCAAACTCTCAAAATGGCGCTTATTTCAGTTATTGTTTACTATGATGAAGAAACTCGAGAAGGTGAAATCGGATTGGTCTTCGCTTCAAATCACTCTTGAGGAGATGATCACTAAAATTTCAAGGAAGGTTCATGTTCGAACTACTAGAAGGTTGTCTTCACTTCAGTACAGATTTCCAATTGCAATATTTTCGTTAACTTATACATCATTCGAACTCTCCAACGATGATGATGTTGCTATGATTTTTTATTCTAAGAATCAATATTCAAACGTTGATACACAGATGTATGCGATATTTATTGAAGTGTTTGCGGTTCGTGGTATGTCATTATGCTCCCACTATGGGCTGGCTCAACAAGTTGATCAAGTTGACAGCCCAACTCAAGTAATGTGTAATGATTTTAACTTGTTAATGGGAAATCCACATCATGGTGCCATCCCATCAAGCTCAATGGGCAGACATTCATCAGTAACTTGTTACGATCTGTACCGAGGTGGATGCACAAACAATTCGTATAGTAACATCGCTTTCAGTTCAAGGGGAAGATATTCATCTACCAATTTCTTTGACCTAAATATGGAGAGGCCCTCGACGCAACAATTTGTGCAATACCCATTTGACACGATGCTTTTTAGTTCCAGGGGGGAGGTATTCAACTGCGAGCTTCTTCGACCTCAATATCGAGATATCTTCAAGTTTAAGGGGAAGGCATTCAACTACTAGCTTGTTCTACCTAAATATCGGTATCATGGAGGAACCCTCATCTCTACTATAAGAACCTCTTCATGAGCCATGTGCAGATGGTGCTGAGACTGGACTATTCATTCAGCCAAAATCGCCGCAATTCAACATGAACTCCGATGATGATGATGTAGACGGAGTTCCCACAAATACGGTATACACCGAACCTCTAGCACACATGTATGAAGCTAATTATGGTGCAATGTACATGCCATAATTTACGGATATGCCTAATGTTAGTGACTACGGACTTAACTTATCAGTAAATGATGGTGAGTTATATAAAGGCATGGAGTTTTCATCCAAAGAAAAAGCGATGATGATAATTAAGAACTACAACATTCGTAATTCTGTTCAGTCTAGAGTCGACCGTTCCATCATCGAAAGATATGTCTGCCACTGTGTCCAACATGATAACGTATACAACTGGATGGTTTGTGTATCGAAGAGGAAGAGGAAAACAATATATGAGAACTAACAATATACAACGCTCATCACATATGTTGTGCTGGAGGGATCAACCAAGATCATCCCAACTTGGACTCCGACATTATCTACCAAGCCATCATGCCCATGGTCAAAGCAAGCTCTCATATAACTATTGCAGTGCTGATTTCAGCTATAAAGTTACAATATGAGTACACCGTCTTATACAGGAAAACATGGAAGACAAAGCATAATGCCATTAAAAACTTCATGGTGAGTGGGATGTATCTTACAACGAACTACCAAGTTGGTTTAGGGTAGCGCGCAGATTAAATCTTGGGACAATTGTCGACTTTAAAACTTTCCATGCATACCACAATGATCAATTGCTTCATGATCGATGCCAATTCTACATGTTTTTTTTACTTACCCACAGTGCATTAATGATGTAAAGTATTGCAAGCCCGTGGTCCAAATCGATATGATATTCTTGTACAAAAAATACAAGCAAGTTTTACTATTGGCAGTTGTCCAAGATGATAATCGAAACATTCTTCCAGATGCTTTTGCCTTTTTTGAAGGAGAATATACTGATTCTTGTGTTTTTTTCCTCAAGAACTTACGCTTACATGTTGTAAAGAGGGAAAAAATATGTGTCATTTTATATCGTGGAGTTGGGATCAAAGTATCAATAGATTCTTTGGGTCCAATGTGATAACCACCCTATGTCCAACATTGGTACTGTATCCAACACATTGTTGCTAACTATCATGGAAAGTTCAAGAAGAATGATGAGAGCTAATTACTTGTGTGCATGGGTATGTCAAAATGCCTAATTTTATTTATCAATCATTTTCATTTTTTTTATGGAAACTTAAAAGTAAGTTTTATATTTGACGCTTAGGTTAAGAACTATTACCTGAAATATTTGAGTCAATACTTCAAGATTTGTTAGGAAAAAATGAGAAAGGATACAATTACATCAGCCTCATCAATAAAGAAATATGGAAAAATGCATATGATTGTGGATATCGATATGGACACATGAAGACCAACTTGGTTGAGGCTATCATTTCGACCTTAAAGGGGGCACGCCATTTTCCAGTAATGACTTTGGTTAAAATGACGTATTTTCGTTTGGGAACACTTTTTTCCAAGCTCGGGGGACAAACTCAAACTTGGATGCAAAACGGTCATGTCTATTACCCAAGATTAGTTGTAGATATACAAAAAAAAGAATTGTTGCATCAAATGGAATGTATGTAACAATATTCTCTAGAACCCATGTATTACTTCGTGTCACAGAGATACCACGACCTCTTCAGGGGATTCAAGCTAACTCGTTCAGAGTTAATCTACGAGACATGTGGTGTGACTGTGGGTTTTTTCAAGCTCTGAAGTATACATGCTCCATGTCTTAGTAGCTTGGTCTTATACCTGTCAAGACTATAACCGTTTTGTGGATCTCGTATATCAACTTTTAGAAGTATTTAAGGTATATGAATTTGAGTCCCCCATAGGTAATGAGAAAGACCCTAATGAGGTTCAGGATTGACTTCTAATTGTATCAGATTCGTCCTTATTAAGGGAATCTGATCGTCCAAAATCCACTCGAATTTATTGTGATATGGATATTTGGGAGACGTCCGGAGAAAACAAAAGATGTGGGCATTGTAGAAACCTATGACATAATAGGAAAAAATGTTCATCTCTTTTGTCATCAAGTAACCGTTGATGATGTAATTTTTGTTTATGAAATCTAAGTTTGTGTTATTTAATTTTCATTTACTTTCAATTAATGTCATTTGAGCATCACTGAGTAATGGGCTACTCAAGTGAAAGTTAAATAAAAATATTACAAACTAAATACAAGAAAATTATACAATTCAAACAATAAAAACAACTAAATAGAAACATTAAATACATATGATAAAATTTGAACAATTAAATAATAAAAATATTAACAAACAAAATAGATAAAAAAATCCATAATTAGATAAAAACTTTACAATTGTTGGTAAACAAACAAAATTAAATAAAAACATTACATACTAAACAACTCTATTGATGCCTACGACTTGAATGTGTACCTCAGAGCGGTGGCTATATGTGTCGATGAGGATTTCTTTGTATAACTTGTTCTTCCTACTCGCTCTCATCATCAGGAGAAACTACATTTTGTTGATGAGGGACAGATGACGATGTAGTACCTCCATAGAATAATGACCTTAGAGGTTTATGGTCGACTATCCCATCGTTCATAAAAAACTGTAAAAATTGTAAAAACACCGCCATCGATGAGTGTGAAAACTGCACTGGAGGTGTCTGTGTATGTGGTACACTTTCACCCGCCA